ATTACTTTTGACTCTAGTTGACATTATCTCTTAATTACTGGTAAATTTTTGTTCACAGGGACCGAGATTTGCTGTTTCGGGGAACTTTTACCCAGTTACACTCAGAAAATAGAAATACCATAACTTGTGCTGCATATGGTGGAAAACAGAGGCTGCTTCTCGGTACAAATCATGGTTGCCAACTTTATGATATGTCCAATGCAAACCACCAACATTTAACTTTTGGTTCAGGGTGAGTATCTCTTTCATGCTGAGTAAGTTGCTGTGCATTCTGTCTTTGTAAATTGTGTTCTTACTATTATCTAGGAGGATCAATGCAGTTGATATGGTTGATAGTCGTGCTTTATTTGTTCGAAATGGCATGATAAAATTGTGTTGTTTTGAATCAATTAGCAATATACATGCTTCTGGTAAATTGCCATCGATTGCCCATGTTGGCTGGAATTCTCGAGATGTCTCTGTTTATACCACAGCAACAACAAATGGAGAAATTCAGGTAATTACTGTAAGTGGATCAGTTACGCATTTCTTTTTTGTAAATCGTACATACTTGTCCAATATTTTATGTTTTTCAAATTTTTTTTAGGTCTATCATGATGGCAAAGTGATTTATGATGATGCTAAATTCCGCACATTTCCAAGTATTGTTCGATGCCATAGAGATCAGGTGTTGATGGGTACATCAGATGGACAAGTCTTGTTAATTGACACAGTATCCAAAAACACACATCATATTAGGGAAATGTCAGGAACGGAAGTGGAATATATTGGTGTAGAAACAGATGAAAGTAACTCATTCTATGTAGTTGGCTCAAAACAAAATAAAAATGTATCTCTTCAGGTAATGTAAATGGACTTTTTTGGGTGTAATGTATCTTTATTTAGCATCTTGTAAAATATTCTGATTCTGTCTGACTCTTCCATTTCAGATTTTTAATCATAACTATGGATTAATTTTGTCCAGCGAAATCAGTGCTCCAGTTGCAAAGACCTTTATCTCCTCCCAGCACAGCTGCTTGATTGTAGTTCTAAGAGATTACTCCATTCTGGTCATTATCTTTTTTAATCTTACACTTTTCCTTGTCATTACAAGCTTTTTTTTTATTAATATTTATCACTTATTGCAGGCGTACAGTTTCAAAAATCAGCATCTTTCAAGTCTTCATGATGGAAGAGAAACAGCTAATGTAACAGATGCATGTATATCTTCAAAAAGGGGCATTCTTTTTGTAACTGATGAGGAAAATTGCTATCATGTCTTTCATATCAAATGGCCTTTGTCAAATGTAACAAATAATATCAATGAGGCTTTGAATATGAAGCCACTTCTCCTGCCCTTAACAGAGGGTGTTAACTTAAAGAAGACAGTTTTTGAGCCTTCTGATGAAGTTGATGGTATAAGACTAAGCTCACTATCTACCACTGAACTTAGAGTGTCATTAAGTACCCAACCACTTAAAGGACCATCTTGGTGTTGCTGTATTTGCCCAAAAGAAGACTTTGTTGCCATTGGATGTGATGATAATACAATTTTGGTGAGCTATTGGAGGTTCATTTACAATTTTACGTTCCTGACTATTTGTCCTATCCATCTATAATCTATCAATCTAACTTTTCTTTTCTTGCAGATATATGACATCCAGAAGGGGAAAGCAATTAATGAATTCCAAGTCCAGCCCAACCGACAAACTAGAATTCATCAGCTGAAGTTTTCTCCCTATGATGTGAAATTTCATCACTTGCCTTTCAAACTAATTCTTTTTGTTGTTACTGACCGTGTGTCTCTCTGGAACATCTCACCTCTTATTCTCGACAATGCAAACTATGCAATCAGAGATATCAAATGTGTCGGTTGCGTAAATGCAAGTGGTAATCCTCTACTTGAGCTTGCAATTAATGACTCTTGCAACAAGTTTTGTGCTTTTGATAAGAATTTTTCATATTTTCTTTGGAATATATGGGAGGAAGATAAATAGGAGCAAAGTTATATAACTATTGTACTTTTTTCTGTGTGGTGCTTTTCAAGGTGGTAAGACTGATCAAATACTTAATATCAATTCCATGTTCAATCATAGATTTCTTCTTATTTAATTGCTATTGGAAAACATGACATCACAGGCTATGTCAAAAATATTTTAATCTACTTTAGAATTCAGCAGGAGCAATGCAGGAACAGATCTCATAATTATTACTTCACTATTCTGTTTCCTTAAGTTTCTGCTAAATGAGTTCACAAACTGAAAGAAGTGATTAATTGTAGCCACATACATATGATTTTTTGTGATTTATCATGTTTTAGTTTAATTTTCCATAGTACTCATATGCCTTCATCCATGAAAGAAAAGGCTGATGCATCTATTTACAGGGTAAACTAATATCTTTTGCTCAAGTCATCTTAATGGATCTTAAGCAAAAAGGCTGGTACCTTACCTATTTGGTTTACACAAATGCCTTTGTCCTATGAATGCTGAGTATTTAACAAATGTGATATATTGTCTTGTCAGTTTTGACAACGAGAGAAGACTGTTTATGTCTCTCATACAGATCGTTTAACTTATATTTTTTATCATTGCTTCAATTTAGTGCTCTTGTTTCGTATTTCATATCAATTTATAGACTAAAGGCAAGGGTCTAAGTTTTTATATTTTATATGAAATTAATTTAATTTTATGTTCAAAACTACTGATGTTTTCAATTTTTAAACAAATGTGATGCCATTGTTTTAAATACCATATGTAATACAGTCTTAACTAACATGACAATGATGCCAAAGATAACGGGTCCTTGACATGTTTGCCAAAATGTATTGTCTGAAGTCAATTAATTATTATCTATTACCAAACAAAGGAAGAAAACCTGTTTGAAAGAGGTGCTTTACACAGCACTGTGGTCAAACAATATTTTTGCCCTCTTTGCTTAGTAATGAATTATTTTTTATTTTTTCTAGTAGCCATATTGTCTGTCTTTTCTATGAATATTTCATTGGAAGATTTATGCAATCATATTGTATATGTTAAAATTTCAAAAAGTCTAATATTTATTTTAGTTTAAATATGTACAGAGTTTAATCATGTTGTGAATTATAATTTACAAAACTATTTGCCGACAAAAGTATCAACCTTGTGCAAACTTACTGATAAAACAATACGTAAACTTCACTACACCAGTCTTCTAGATAGTAAATTTTCTCTGAAAGAGAACCAAAAAGGGGAGATAGGCTTGAACTAAGGCATCTTTTGTAATTCAACCCAATTAGAACTGTTGTCGTTTCGACGTTTTAGAATGATTGAAAGTACTGAAAATACATTGACCTGTTGTTTCAACCACTGCAATATTTCTGGCCAGGAATGGACTTGGATTAACCTCACTGAATTATGCCTGTACATTGTCAGTCAAGAACTTTGAGATCATTTTTGTCGAGCAAGAACCAAAATTGGAGAAGTTAGACTTCAGTTAAAAGCATATTTACCCCTGTTCAAACAAAAATAAAAAAATAACTGGAAATCAAAATTATTTGAGTAAATCAACGCAGTGTGT